ACCGAGTCTGTTTTTACAGCGTATGCGTGTTGCAATTGCGTGTGGTGGTCTGAGACCTGAGAGAGAAGAGAAGAGCGAAGAGTGGGACACTGTCTCCCCGTCACGTCCGTGCAACTGTGAACAAAGTGCTCGATGAGACGAACTAGACTGACAAACTCCGAGGACGCCACATTCTCCAGTAGACCTGCCTGCACACCAACAAAGCAAAAGGAGGTCTATGCTTTACTTTTACTAAAGCATGTGCTTTTTTTGATTTGTATATATGCAAGTCTATGATGACTAATGGTTTACTCTCAGGAACATTTCAAAAGAAGGATATTGACTTCACAGGCCCACATGTACATATGCACACATACGTAAATCAAAACACCCAACCACACACGCAGAGAGCATCCACCGCACAGTGTTAACGTTGTGTTTGATACCTTTGCCCTAATGCTGAGTATCTTTGCACAACGAGAGTGCACGAGATCGCAGGAGGCAGCGAGGAGCTCATGACATTCGGTCCGCGATAGTCGCTGGCACTGAGCTCGCTCTGCGGACATGTGACCTGACGCCGTTCTCGTCCACACTAGTGCCTCACGTATGAGAGAGACGATGGGAGGAGAGGGAGTGATAGGTGAGAGAGGAGGGATGAGGGAGAGATTAATTAGCTAGACATTTTTTCTACAGCTAGTGTAGCTTCTAGGTCCACAAATTTGCACAGCCATCAAAATCAAAACCTGGCAGAGTGGATAACTGCATAATGTCAGATTTCGTACGGTGCAATCGTCGTTTTGTAGGATGTGCCTACGCAGATAATCTTCAATTCACGAATACTTAGCCACTTCCAAAACACCAATGTGCAAAAATATTGAGGCTTGAAAGTTGGTGTCATAATGCAATAGGCCACATTCTCAAGCACATTTCAGCCATCGCTACAAGAGACTTACTGAGCAACAGCCATAATGTCTTCCAGTCTCTCCTTCTCTTTAGAGTCCACTGTTAGCTGTTGACTCCTCCCACCTCCCACGCCCGCAGTCGTCGCCACTACTCTGCCCACTGCCCCACCCGCTGCTCGCCCACCCTCTCTACTCACGGAGCTGCTGTCGGCGGGACTCAGCTCCAAGCCGACAGACCCAACTCCACCAGTTCTCTCCAATTCTCCACCACTGAAACCAGCGTCTAGTCTGTTGGTGGAGTTTTGTGATGACTCGCCGGACAAAGGCTGAGTCCAGTTAGTCACAGAGCCACTGGGGTCAACTCTAAGGTCACTCATTTCCTCCTGCATCATCAGTAACTCTAGCTCTGCTTCGGCCTCGAACTGAGCATTGCTCTTTTCGAACGTCGAGTCAAACGAAGGGAGATTAGAGGGGCCGGCGGTGAGATTACCCGCCGGGAGGGAGATGGAGGGGTTCAGAAGGTGAGAGTTGGTGGTTGTCGTTGAGATTGCGGCTGTCGTGGTGCTGTTCTTTAGCAGGGTCTCTCTAACCATGGCAGTGGTGGATGATTGGTCGACGGACTGCTGCCGAGCTGCCTGCTTGGTGGCTCGACCCGTCTTGCTACTTCCGCCAGCCGCTCGCTCACACACACTGGCTATCACCTTGACACAACTCTGGACAACAGGTGAGAGAAAAATGTTGTGAAGAAATGTGAACATGTTGTGAAAGTGAAGAATGGAGCACTATACTCAACATCAGAGGTACAGTTATGCCTTTACAAGTCTATGATACACTTTACACATACATCCAAATCAGTACATAATACATATGTACATCAAGTATAGGATTTTGTTGCAACTGCATGTACCTGAACAGTCTTGAGGTGGCTGAGGAGAGCTGAAAACAGGTGCTCCAACATACCCAGCCATGCATCAAACTCCATACTCCGCATACAGTCAGCCAGACTGCACAAGAACAACAGCCACTGAATATTATATAATTGGTGGCAACTAACAAGTAATAAATAAGGGCGCTCCAGCAAATCCTGGCACAATTTAGTGCACGTTCTTGCATGTAGCTGCTAAATAATTGCTTCATACATTGTAATTTTAATATATACCTTGGAGAGTCCATTCCTTCACCCTCTACCTCAGGAATATGGAGATAGGTCTTGACAGTCTACAGAGATAAAGACATACTGAGGGCTTTGCGTGAGAGTGAGTGAGAGAGAGAGAGAGAGAGCTGAGGGCTTTGCGTGAGAGTGAGTGAGAGAGAGAGAGAGAGAGAGCTGAGGGCTTTGCGTGAGAGTGAGTGAGAGAGAGAGAGAGAGAGAGAAAGTGAGAGAGAGAGAGAGAGAGCTGAGGGCTTTGCCAGGTTGGCACACGTGTGTGTATACAAGTAGATGTGCATATGCACTAGGCAGAGATGGAGACAGCTAGAGAGAGAAAGTGAGACAGACAAAGAGAGAGAGAGAGAGAGAGAGAGAGAGAAAGTGAGTGAGTGAGAGAGAGAGAGAGAGTGGGAGTGAGAGAGAGTGTGTGTGTTGCCTCACTTCCTTCACAGTGTACTTGAGGTTGGTGAGGATGCCCTCCCTGAGAGCTGTCAGGAAGTGAAGTTTGCTCTGCATCAGTAATCCATACACCACTGATACCAGCCGTTCCTGCACACACCAAGAGAACAGTACAGTGTTAACAGTACAGGGTTCTGGTAGTGACACTTTCTGCATCACAAGTGTAATCTGCACTCAATTCACACTTTGTCCATACAGATGTGTTTCTTACTTCCTCTCATAGTGGTAATACTGCATAATATGGTGTAACATTGTACCTCAGAGGCAGTGACGTCAGAATTGAGTGAGGGGTTAGAGAACGCCTTCACTCTGAGGCCAATGTCCTCCATGGCAAAGTCGACCAGGTCAGCCTCCATCATCTTCTCAATGGCCCGCTCCATCTCTGCCAACTGGGATCCCAGGTGTCTGGAGAGACAGACAGACAGAGACATTATGTACACCCCGTTTAAATTAAAAACCCATTTAGACTGCTTACTCGTAAACCGGTTTCGGCTAAACCGGTTTACGAACCCGTTACAAGTGCCCGTGAAAAACGGGACAAAGAAGACAGACAGACAAACCAGGGAGGGAAGGAGAGAGACTCTGTAAGTACTAATTGTGGTGAGAGTTTAAAAACCTGGGGTACGTACAATACACTATAGTTCAAGCATATTAAAAAAGGAACTCTTTCGATACGTGTACCATGCATACATACATGTAAGTCTGGTCAAGAACTGAGAGTGATCAAGAACACTACTGACCTGAGGCTGTGGACTCCCCGCAGCTCATCGTGGAGGACGTCTTGCGTGGTGGTGATGAGGTCAATGGCACCCACAAAGTCAGACGTACTCAGCAGCAGTTGGATGGTGGGCTGGGTCTGCTGCACCGTCGATATCAACTGCACACATTACATCACTTCACTAGCAATCAACTGAATTTCACATTCAGTGTTCACTTGTGCAGCTTTAGTAGCCCACCCAGAGTAGGAAAAAAGTGTTTCCATGAGTGAATATTGAGCCTCCCTTGCTTCATACCTCGCTTATGATCCATTATAATTTCATTACTCTGTTATCCGTTATGTGTATAATGTGCGGGTGTATATTAAACTGACCTTGAGTTTCTGCAGGACTTGAGAATTGCGATGTGTCTGTGAGCAAAGTCTCATCAGTTCCAGATTCTTGTGAGTCAGTTTCCTGTCCAGATCTCGAAGACACATCCTGGCGGAGAGAAACCAACCAAGACCTTGTTTGTACTACACGCTACGAAATGTGAACTCTAATCACAAAAACACGAACAAATATTTAGAGGAGCAGCTAAATAGAATATATATAGTAGGAATCCAGTTATATACCGTACTATGAACACCCCGGGACCTGAAAAGTTCAGAATGAGCTGCAAATTTAGATGAACTGACAATTTATCCGAGTTTACTACTGAGCTGAAAACTGTTAGGTTTTTTAAACCACTGATAAGTACCTATGTGCAGTTGTTACAGTAATGGGGATGGTAGAGACCTGAGCTCCACGACGTTCTGCCGGACAGACATGATGTGGTCCTGTAGCTCCTGCTGCGAGGAGAGGGTGGAGAAGAAGAGGTCTGAGCGCTGAGCTATCTGGTGGGCCAGGTGGACCTCTATGACATCCAGGTACTGGGACAGCTGGAGGAGAGGTGGAGAGGATGACAGGGAGGGAGGGGGGGAGAAAGGAAAGAGGAAGAGATGGATAAGTGGAAATAAAGAAAGAGTGGGATATTACCGAGACAGTAAAAAATTGTAGAACCAACTAAGAAACAAAATTCAACTCCAACCTTTTCGTGCAGGAGTTTTGAAGAGACTGGAGGTGTACTGGGAGTGTTTGGTGAAGGAGAGGTGACGTTTTTCTTTCCTCTTTCTCCGCTCCTCGCAGCCTTCTTGGTCCTGCGGCCGGGACCCAGCTCCTGCAGCGGAAGGACCTGCTGGAAGGTGGCCAGATCCTTCAGACAGAAATCTGCCTGCATAAACAGCTGTCCGTAGTAGAAGATTGAGGGAGCATAATTATCTTTCGTTAGTACGGGGGCTCACTTACTCTTGGAACCGAGCTAAGATCGAACATTCTTCCTTCTGTGTGGGAACATTATGTCATTCGTGAAATACAAAGACAAGTGGGGAATATGCTATCGTTGTTGGATCGATTTGTCCACTTCACTGACCTTGGTGCAGTTTGCTGATGAGAGGAGGTAAGGCAGGGGACGTGGGGCTGGTAGGGCACGTCTTCTCGTCCTGTGACTCCTTACGCAGCTGCCTCACAATAGACCTGTGGACCTTCCTACCCTATAGCACAGACAAACACACACACACAGAGTGAGAGAGAGTCGTGGTCGAAGTCCTATGGAGAATCACTTGACTTTGTGTATCATACACTCAGCGACTTGACTCAAACTAATTCGCCAACACATGACAAGAGCACCCACACATTTTTACTTTGGCTTTGGTACATACGTTGTAGGCTTTGGACTGTGCAAGTGTGGTTCGTTCAGGTCCGAGTTACATTTTATCTTCACGTTGCCTCCAAAGCAATACTCAGACAGCAGAGCCTCCATAACTACTTTGCACAGCTCTTTCGTACTGCAGGACTACCTGAAACACACGCCACTTCTTCAGCATAGATTTGTTCCAGAGAAAGGTGCTCAAATTCCGCTTATTTGAACTGGTAACACACAGGGAGTGCTGTGTCTATAGTTTCTGGCACCAACTTACAGATGATGTCTCCTTGAGGTATCTGATAAAGTCCCCAAGCTGGATATTAGGGATGGTGGATGGAGGGAGTGGAGCATTGGGGACAAAATACATGCCCCACGTCCTGGTGAAGAGATCGTACTCTCTGTCGGACGGGTCGTTCAGAGCGGCCGCCAGGTTCTGTGCCGGGGAGCTCATGGTCCAGTTGGGGCCCTCCGACTTCTCTGCAACCTCCTTCACGCTCGGTATCCGAAGCCGCGACGACACCCGCGAAGATGACGAGGCTGTTGGCGTGGGGACACGCCCCGAGATAGCCAGCGGGTCGTACCTGCTCGTCTCTCCATCCGAGTGCGGCAGGAATACGTCCACGTCCGAGCTGTCGCGTCTCCCACCGCTCGCTGCAGACATCCGTTTACAGGGTTGGTGGGCTCCAATTGAAGTTTCAAGCGACCTTGTACTGTGCACACTCTGAATAAGAAAAGCTCTCGTGGAAGTGTTATTGAACAACTGCACCAACTAAAGTACTTTCAACTTGGAACCTCTGCAGGACGGCAAACCGAACTGAGCCGAGGGTGAAAGCACAAGATCTCGACGACAAATTCAAAAGGGGCGGTGTGCAAAAGGGGGCGGGGCTTGGGCGGTGTATGTATGTATGTGTATACGTACGTATGTACGTACACGTGTCGATAGCAGAATTGCGCATGCGCGAGCTGTGGGTGGGCGGTGATCTATGGGGGGCGTAGCTCGTGGAAAGGCGCGAGCTGTGGTGGTATATAGAAGGAAAGGAGAATAGGCTTAGGGAACTATAGGCATTTTACTCAGTTGTCGGACTGCTCTCTGAAGGTCTGTTAACTAGACTTTCACCATCGCCAGCTAAAAGATAAATCCTTCCTTGCCCCCAGATAGGACGCGAAAATGCGGCTCATATTCCCGCTCGTCCTATCGCTCTCGCTCATGGTCTGCACCGTGAAAGGACAGGAACCCAACGGACAAGTTTATGGTTTTGTCAGTTTCTCCACGGATCGCGTGGAGGTGCACGAAGACTCTGGGAACGCGGTGACCACCGTCCAGCTACCGCTCATCAGAGAGGTCGGCACGACAGGAATCATACTTGCAACTGTGGAGGTATGGCGAATGAAACTTGTTTCTATGTACAATCTAGTATCCAACGCAATTGTTGATAGATGGTTTAGCAAAAATTTTAGTAGTAGATATTTTGAATCTTCACCATTTGTTAATCAAAACATGAGCTTGCATAGATCACTGCATGAATATTGTAATGTCATGCTGCAGTAGCAAGATTCATTTGCATGTTGTGTACTTCAGACTGTTCTTGGGTGGTGTTAACTTGTTTTGGACCACCCTCTTCCAACATACCCACCATCCTACTCTGCAGGTTACCAATACCTCAGTTGAGAGTGATTTCTTTAGTTCAAGTGCTGTGGTCAGCTTTACTTCGGGCGCAACTACTGCCAGTGCCATTCTGCTGCTTCAGAATGACGACATACCAGAGGGAAATGAAACATTTATCGTAAACATTACTGGTAAGATCATAGATTCATACCGCACCTGTCCTACATAAGTCAGTTGTGCGGTCAATGCAAAAAGCCCTGTTGCTGTTGCCTTGAAATGAGTAATAAGGTAGCTGTAAAGTTCAAATGTACTGTTTGTGCACAGGTACAAGGTTTGGAGCTGAAGTAGGCTCTGTCAATAGTCTTGTGCTCTTTGTGAGAGGCAATGACGAACCTTATGGTGACTTTCAGTTTAGCATGGTAAGTAACAGCTATCAGTTGGGCTGATAACTAATTGGCTCATTATTCCAGGGTTCTCGATCTGTAAATGTGTCGGAGTCTACTAGTGGCCGTTCATTTGAACTGACTGTTGAGCGGAGTCCGGGAAGATTTGGAAGAGTCACAGTCGACTACCAGGTACAAAGTTAATCCTATTTGCCTTGCACCAAAGATTCAAAACACAGTGCTACCTGTAAGTAAGGTCAAAACCTGCTTCTCCAGGTAACTGCTGGTCCCAACAACGGTATAGATGATCTCTCTCCCACTGGAGGACAACTAGTTTTCAACGATGGAATAGCGAGTGCAACACTGACCATCTCAGTGACTGCTGACAATATCCCCGAGAACAAAGAGTCATTTACAGTTACTCTGAGGAACCCCAGAGGTGGAGCTGGACTGGCTGAGAGCAACACTGAAGCAATCATCACTGTTGAAGGGAACGACACTCCACTGAGATTCTTTCAGACTCAGTACACGGTGAGTGAGGACGCAGGTAGTGTTGTGCTCACCATCACACGTGGAGTCCTGGACGACGGCACAGAGATAGGAGATCTGTCTGCGGAAACTACTGTAGAGTATGAGACTGTGCCTGGAATGGCTGTAGCTGGTGCTGATTTCGACACACGTAGTAGCACCGTCACTTTCGCCCCTGGTGTAACAAGTCAGAACATCTCGATACCAATCACTGACGACTCGGACCCAGAAGGAGATGAGCTTTTTTCCGTGTCTCTCTCCAACCCTTCCTCCGACTCGGTACTCAGCACTCCATCAACTGCCATGGTTCTGATTGAAGTGAATGACAATGCCGGAGGTTTTGTCCAGTTTGCCTCGGCTGGTCCGGTGGTTGTAAGTGAGGATGATGGATCTACTGCCGAGTTTACGGTCCAGAGACTGAATGGATCCTACAGCGATGTGACGTTAGAGTGGAGGGTTGTGGACAGCTCTGAGAATGAGGCGTCTGATGATTTCCAGACGACTCGAGGGAAACGTGACGATCCTCGACGGCGAAACTGAAGTGGTGCTACGGATCCAGCCCACCAATGACGATACCAGTGAAATAGCCGAGATGTTTTCAGTTGAACTGACTGGAGTGATCAGTAGAACCGGAGAACTTCGACCCATGGGTACTAGAGTGGCCACATTGATCGTGGAAGATAGCGATGACGTGTATGGTCTAGTGGAGCTGGCTGCAAACACTCAACTACATGTCACAAGTGACGTAAGTTTTCAGCAGCATTCTCATGCTGACTGACAGAGTTTTACTTTGTAGATGGCAAAGTAAATGTATCTTGTTTCATCGTAGGCCCCTCGTCAGCTGCACCTGGCAGTGACTCGGAGTCCAGGCACAACTGGCACCATCTCTGTAGACTACTACGTCACCTATCTTCCCGAGGGTGCGTCGAGTGCTGCCGATGGAGATTCCTCGGTGTTTGCTGCAGCGGCTGGCTCAGTGAGACTGGTGGGTGGTGACAGTTCAGTTGAATGGGACGTCGAGATCTTGAGTGAGGCATTCCTGGACACCAGTGGCCAGTTCTATGTAAAGTTGAACAGCACTTCTCTTGTGGAGGGAGGTAAATACAGTTTGATTGTTGATGTATAATATCCTAATACTGTCTCTTACTCCCATCACAGTTGTTCCTCTGGTCACCCCAACCAACTCCCCTCGAATTGGCCCCCGCTCTGAGGCCTACATTTCCATACCAGAATCAGCAGCCAACGGCTACATCTCATTCTCCCAGTCAAGCCTCACAGCATTTGAGCCAGAAGATGGTGGCTTTGGAAGCTCGCTGAGTCTGACACTCACCAGGACTGGGGCATACTGGCACCGCCACCATCACCTGGATGGTGGTTAGCATCACCACAGACTCCAATGACCTGGGAACCTCATCTGATATGACTGTTATAGAAAATGGTAGAGACATCTCTGCAGATACTTACTTGCCACTGTATACACTTATGCCTGTCTCTGTAGAGTCTACCCAGACGTCAGTGTCGAACCAGATAGTTGTAGTGATATTGAACGATGACGAGCCCGAAATAGACGAGACATTTCGAGGTTCAGCTGGTGTCAGTAGAAGAGAGTGGCCAGAGAATAAACCCTGAACAGTACGTACGTATTACCCTCACTTCTTGGTAGTTACTCTGCACTTACTGGACACACGGATCAACCAGTTTACCTGTATAACTCTTCCTCCACAGAATACATCAGTGGTGACTATAGCTCTCAACGACAATGCCAGGGGAGTGTTCACCGTCTCCTCTACCCAATCTTCCTACACCATCGAAGAGTCCCCAGATGAAGTCATATCCATCAGCATCATCAGAGCCGAGGGAGCTCTCACCGCTGAGACTATCCAGTACCAGATCTTGCCTGGCTCTGGTGCAGATTTCATTGGCAGTGTTGGTGTGGCGGTATTTCCTCCTGGTGTAACTGAGAGGGGGGTGTTTGTACTTCCAAACGATGACAATATCCCTGAAAACACGGAAGAGTTCAACTTTACCATTACCCCCAGTAGTAGTGATCTTCTGGGGAATGTGACACATATTGGGATCAGTATCCTGGCAAACGATGAGTATGCCGGGGTTTTCTCTTTTGCAGATTCATCACTTCAAAATGTCATTGGTAAAAATATGATGTGTACAAATGACTGTGGTTTTGATGCTCAATCTCCTCTCAGATGAGCCAGGGTTGGAAGGATCATTGTCAACAGCCACTCTTACAGTGGAGAGAGGCAGGGGAGCGTTCACTGATGTGACAGTCCACTGGGAGGTCACAGATTCCAGTGCTGACGGCGATATTAGCCCCACGAGTGGCAGTGTTGACTTCAGCGAGGTGCAAACCTCTGCTACATTCACCATTTCTGCCCTGGAGGATGAGGTAATTGTTACACTACAGTTGTCCCAAACTGAAAAGTCATCTTAATACGGCCTTGTTTATTGTGATCTGCCCTTAAACCTAAAGGGTTTGTCTTGAACCACACTCAAAAGTGTATCTCTATGCAGATACCAGAAGATGATATACACTACATGTGGCTCTAACTGAAGTATCAGGAGATGGACAACTAGCCAGCAGCTCCACCCAAGCCGTACTGACAGTCAGACACAATGACGACCCCATCAACTTCAGAAACTCCACTCTGGAGTCCAGTGAGGGGGAGACAGTCGAGCTAGTGGTGACTAGAGGTGGTCATGCTAATGGTAAGCATCTGAAAGATGTGTGTAAATACTTAGGTCCACAGATAGATTATGCTACCATTTCAGCACATTTCTTCGATGTTCCAATAGGTGTTGCAGAAGTTTCGTTCCAAGTGACTTACACATCTGCTTCATCTGAGGATATTAGCGTCACACCTTCTTCTAGTGTTGTTACATTTCAAGATGGAGAGAACGAAGCCACTATCTCAGTAACAGTGGTGGACGATGATACTCCAGAAGAAACAGAGAGACTGGAGATCTCTCTCACCTCTACTATCGGCGATGCTGTTCTTGTTACACCCACAACTGCTGTGGTCACTATTCTCCCGAGTGATGATCCAAACGGAGTGTTTGAGTTTGGAGCCAACTCCACAGACCTCTCAGTGGAAGAAGGAGACACACTTCAAATGATGTAGGACACACATCGAACACTTCACCCTTTTTATACTTACCTTTTGGGCTAGCATGAAGAGTACCTTTGGCCCTATGAAGAGTACCTCATAATCATAAGTGTGTTTCATTAATGCAGGGTGGAGAGACTTCAAGGAGCTTTTGGGACAGTGGAAATCAGAGTCAGCTCCTACCTTCTTGACCCAACAACTGGCGACAGAATCTCAACTAGCACCAGCACAGACCTGAGCCCAGTAACTCTACTGCTCAACTTTGCAGAGGGCGAGACTTCCAAGACATTCCTTCTCGAAATAACCGATGAAGCAACTCCCGAATTTGAAGAGACGTTTGAGCTTGTCTTGACGGTCGAGAGCTCCACGGAGACTCTGAAGATGGAGCGAGACCTGGGAGTACCTCGACTTCCACCATTACAGTTTCAGAGAATGATGATCCCCACGGTCTGTTTATCGTCTCGTCAGCCACTAGCAGCGTGGAGGTGCCAGAGGATGTGGGAGAGGGGGAAGAGGGAGGGAGTGTGGAAGTGGTGGTGGAGAGAGAGTACGGTGTTGTGGGCAGGGTCCAGGTGAGATCTTAACAGTAATAGAAATTACCAAGTATTGTGTGTTGAGTATAATATGTGCCCACGCTTAACTTGAATGATGAGTGTTCACTTTAATCCTGTCTCAGGTTGTGTGGGAGTTAGTCCCAGAGCTGGACCCAATTCTTCCGGAGTTCACTGATCTACTCTTCCTTGGGTCGAGAGGACTAACCATCTCAGAGATCCAGCCACGTAACAACACCGGGACTATTGCTCTAGAGTTCATTGGAGACGCAGACTCAGTAGTGACTCTACCTAGTGAGAACCACCCTACAATCATCACTAATGAGCTCACCATAAGGTCAGTATCACATGTATTCCAGGTAAAATACTTGCTGCTGTTTCTCACACAGTCTGTGGGTCCTAGTGATAGGGGACACTACTGGAGGTGTTCTGGTGGCAAAGACCACAGACAGTGGTTCAACCATATTCTATGCCCTGGAATTACTGCCTAACGGAGGGGACTTCCTCATCCGTTTCTCCTACCTCCCAGCATCACAAACAGTAATACATACAGTGCTGTCATATTCTTGTGTTGAGGCACTTAAACAATACTTTCTTAGTCTGGCTCTGAGAGTGTGGAGGTGTCGGTTGTGCAGTCTTCTCTGGCTGATGGTGACTGGCACTCTCTGGCAGTTGTGGTTGACGGTAGTGTGGCCACCTTCTACCTGGATGCCTCTAGAATCAACTCCAGGTGTGTACCATGCAAATCGCGTGCATTTTCACACGGGCTTCTGAGGCTGAATTGTAGAAGTTAACGGTGTATTATGCTATATTGTTTCACAGGACGCTGGAAGAGTCTTCTATCAGAGATGGAACTGGAGAGCTGACAGTGGGAGGAGTTACTGGTGATGGCGACAGCTACTTCACTGGAGGCCTCCAAGATGTGAGAGTCTATGCGGCCTCCCTGGACCTGAGGTAATGCACTTGGTGTAGACTAGCCAATTGTAATTTTGTGTGTTTATAGTCAAATATCAGCCATTGGGACTGACGCCACTGCCTCCACACTCACTCCAATATCGGGCTACCTGACCTTTGAAGATGGAGAGACAGAGTACGGCATAACTGTCTCTACAGTGGACGATCTTGTCCCTGAGCCGAGTACAATCTTCAGACTACAACTTACCAACTCCAATGGTGGATCTCGCATTGACCCAACTGCCAACTATGCAGTACTTACTGGTGTGTGCCTTATGATATGCAACTTTTTCTAAGCGTTAATCTCTCTTTTCAATGCAGTTTTGAAAAGCGATGCAGCCAATGGCGTCTTTGGTTTTGACTCTCTATCTCTCTCAAACTCTCTTCAAGAGACGAGCTCTGTCTCCCTCACAGTACAGCGTCTCCAAGGAGACTATGGAAGTGTCACCATACACTGGGAGATCAGAGCTGAGGGTAGAAACACTCTAGCCATGAGCGACTTTGAAACTGCCTCTGGAACCTTGGAATTCTCCGAGGGTGATCGCCGACAAGTTCTGGTGGTGGAGCCAACAAATGAAGATGAGCCTGAACTCGACGAAATGTTTGTCGTCTATCTCACTGATGCTGTGTCAAACGATGGATACACGAGCTCCACAGCCACCAGTGGCGCCAGTATTAACTCTTCATTCGACCGGTCAAACCTGACCGTGATTGAAAATGACTACCCTTATGGCCTACTCCAGTTCTCCACCACCATTCCTCAATCCTCGGGCCTTATACTGGCTGCTGATACGATGCCCCAGATCTCCACGAGAGAATCTGCTGGAACAGTAACTGTCTACATTGTGCGTGCTCAGGGGACCCTGGGAACAGTCAGTGCAGAGTATCTGACTCGTGACGGAACTGCAACGGGAACCGGTGCAAGTCCTGACTACGTCCCGACTGCAGGTTCAGCTGTGTTCGGACCTGACGACCGATACACTACTCTGGAGCTGTCTTTGGTTGATGACGACACACCTGAGAGAGAGAAAGTCTTCTACGTTAGCCTCACTAACCCAGCTGGAGGTAAGACAAGGAAATAAATGATACAGCTTCTGCAGAAGGTGTAAAAATATTAGTTCCAAGGCTTTTATAGTACCCATGGAACAAAGTAGCATCAAGTAGTTATTCTATGTGTGTGCAATGTTATAATTCTGCTATTTTGCCTACAGATCAGGGTGTACCAGGGCTCTCTATTGGTGGCAACATCACCATTAGAATCCTCCCCAGTGACGATGCTTTTGGAGTTTTCTCGTTTGCTGCCGACTCTCTCTCCCGACTGGTGTCGGAGCAAGATGGAGGAACTGCTGTCACTCTCAACGTAGGGAGACTTGGAGGAACGTTTGACGATGTGTCGGTCTACTGGGAGGTGGAGGGAGGGGGTGGTGGTGACGTTAGCCCTACCTCGGGTCGACTTGACTTCTCAGAGGGAGAGACAGAGGGAGAACTAACAGTAACCATCAACAATGATGAGGTACATTGTATACCCTGTCTAGGGAGTGTTGAGGGTTCAAGTCCAGGAACAGCAATTTCTTGTGCCATTGGTATGCACTTGCCTTGTGTTTGTTGCACAAAATTTTGCTGGGTTCAAAAACTTAATTACCTGAGAGGAAGAAAGAGCCTCACTACCCTAGCCGGATTGGCAATTTACAAGGCTTATAACTATATGTTGCTTGTGATTGCCCACTTTCTCAGACCCCAGAACTGGAGGAAGCATTATCCGTACGTCTGGTGAATGCCAGTGGAGGCGCCACAGTCAGTACCAGTGGCTCACAAGTAGCCACCATCACAGTGCAGGCCAGCGACCATCCCTACGGTCTCTTCACATTCTCTGCCGGGTTTCGACCACTGGTGGTCGGTGAAGATGGGGGAGGAGTGGAGGTGATGGTGACTAGGGAGTTTGGAGACTTGGGGAGGGTCAGCGTGAGCTACATGGCTGTGGAGAGTGCGCATAGCTCTCTCCAGGGACTTGTGGATGTGGCACAACTTGAACGGAACAGGTATTATTATACACGTTAACGTCACCCTAGGCGCGCATGCGCAGTCTGCCTGTTACGTTTTCTCACGCACGCGCAACGATACAACAAAATAGCGATACCAACAGGTTCATTTCTACACTGGCTTTATTTTAAAAATAGCGATTTTCGTAGAAGTACTGCGTTTTAAAGTTATGGCTTGAAAACCAAGTGCAAGCCGTGACCTGATCCGCTTGCTCTGTGTACCTCGGAGGAAAAAAGCTACAATGAAGGGCGTGTATCGACTCCCGCATGCTATCTACTACTGTAGCTAGCCCGTATCAGACTCTCCGCGAGCTACTAGCAGGAGACCACGAGTAAACGCATCTAGTATAAGGCCCAGCCCATCAACGGTACCACGCATGCGCAGTTCACCAAGGATTTGCACTTCAGTGTTTTTCAGTTTTGACTATGCAGGCCACCTGCTATGTGTATAATCTACATGAATAGTTTGAGATGTTCCCTGTGAAGAAGAATTCTTCAATGGGGTGTTAATTTTTGAACACTGGCTGCGCTTTCTGCTTGTCATACGAGCTCTCCTGTATTCCCACTGTATATAGAGTAGTATGGCATCATACTAGTCACCTGTTCTGTTATATATTCGTAAGAGTGTAACGTACCATTGTTGGGTATTTGGCGCTCCTGCTGATTACGCTGACGCTCAACCAGCACCCTTTGCACATAGGTGTTCAGTGTATCCGTTACGATAACCAGCTTGCATGAGCCACTTTGATCTAGAGCATGTAAAAACACATCCACAGAAAAGACATGCACATCCACCACACACTTCCTATTGATCCTCATAGCCTAATCTCAGGCTCCCCTTCTCCATATTGATGATCATTGAACCCATGTCAAAGTAGAGCCTGGGCTAAGACCCCAGAGGTACAGCGTGTATTACTGGTGACTCCCCTGGGGGAAACACGATCAAACTCCCGTTGTTAGAATAGTCCCAGTTACTGGCCCTTTGCGGTCAGTTATGTGTAAGCTATGTGCTTACATGGCAACTATTTCTTACTCCCTAAATGGCACATTCTTCAAATATAACAGCGTCCCGATCCGTGACGTTACCTTTGTGTTCTCTTTCTTGCTACCCCCGGCCATAATCCAGTTTTTCAGCCATATATGGAAGGAGTGAATGAACGTAATCCAACGCGGCGCTTACCAATAGCCCATCATTCCAGGAATAGCAAATGATAATGGGGGAACGCCCATTGATTATAGTTCCTCGTGTTGGGTCCAGCAACCGCTATAACTTGTCTGATCAGTGTGAATTCTGTCAGTCAACTGGCAGTGGCTGGAGATGACTACACAGCTACTCCTGCGGTCTCATACTTTGAGAGAGGAGATCTGACAAGAGGCTCTTCACTCTCTCTCATCAGCAGTGACAGGTGTTCCTGACTGGCTGAGTACATTTCATAGCAATCACCTCTGTGGAGCTGGATCCGACTCTGTGTGCGGGATGTTGCCAGCTCTGGTACGCTTTTACATGCTTCAAACAACTACAGTACTCCAGTACAAGTTTTTGTGCATTGTACAGTGCTTGATTTCTGTGCATCTAGAAATCTACTTCATCAAACTGACTATTACTAGTCTCACTTACCTGGGGCATTTGTTTTTCAATTTGTCAATTTAGTCTGGTTAGGAATTCGGTTACATCAGTAGACATTCTCTGACAGTAGCCTGTCTTGTGGTGAAACAAAGATTCTCCTTTAGACATTCTGATCGCAGATTCTTGTCTTCCAGATCATGTCTTTCTTTTGATCTTGGGCAGTGGCACTTCAACGGTCATCACTGCGTGGAACTGAATAGACAAGGCATTTATATCACGAGAAAATGTGTACGTTTTGTGACGCATATAGCGTGTTTGTGACACTTTCCAGTTTGTACTGGCACTTCAGCCAGTGGCAATGGAGTCGCATTTGTGGTATTGGCTGGAAATGACGATGCTCGTGGCGTCATGCAACTATCCAGCTCGACATGCTGAGCGAGAGTCCCACAGACACTTGTGACTGTCAGCCGAGGAGCTGGTTAGCTTGGACAGTACGTCGTGCACACTAATGTCACACATACAGTTATCACTGGCCTCTCAACCTCAGTCTGCTTATCTGTTTCTCTGCCACTTATACAGATAGTTGGGGTGTTTTTCCTTTCCTTGTGTTGTGCTTTGAGCAAAGCTGCAGAGGATAGAACTCTCTGACTAGGTTGCGAGGTTTTTGCGGTGACAGCATAGTCTGATTTCTTTGCTGCGCTCACAGGTGACGGTGGATTGGGAGGCGGTTGCAGTAACAGCGCTCAGTCCTCAGACTTCACTCCCGCGCACGTGGATCAGTGGTGCTGGCTGATGGTGTCTCTCCACCCAGCTCCCTCTCTCCATCGTCGACGACACTGACCAGAGTTCTCCGAGACCTGCACTGTCAGTCTGAGTGGGCAGCGGCAGAGGAGCCAGCTCGACGGCATTCTATCAGCCACGTCACCATAACTAGCCAGTGACGACCCCAATGGAGCTACGTGAGCAATACAACATCAGCATAGATTACACTTCAATGCTTGCAGACATGTATAAGTTGTCGTGACTCAGAGTGTGCCGTGGGTCGTCGCTCGGTGTCAGTGCGTAGAGCCAGAGGATGAGCCGCAGTCTACAGTCAGTTTGTGTAGTGGAGAGAACGTGAGTGCGTGCAACGGGTGTGGTGGAAGTCTCCTGGACTCTCACTTCCACAACGGTGAGTCAACACGTATGTTATCCTGCATCCGTGAACTTGTCGAAGAAGAAGAAAACTTTGTGCTAATGACATGTAAGGTTTTCACCTCTAGCAGAATTCAGTCGTGACACATAACAAACTCCACGGACATTCCTACTGTGATCTCATAACAACAGTCTCTTGATTATTCTGTGCCGTGCTCACTGCAGGGGCTGGATCCCGTCGCTGGACATTGTGCCCAGTGTCAGGGACTCTGCAGTACATCAGTGTGGAGTTACCAGCAGTCTATCACTCAGCAATCAACCCCAGACATCATCCCTGAAATTGCTGAGGTAGGTATCCCAGCCTACATAGTACTGATCTTCTTTTCAATGTGTACTGATCGTCATCTCTGTAGGGATTTACTGTCGGTCTATCGGAAGCAACGGGTGGTGCTAGAGTGGGAGGTTTTGCTAGATCTACTGTGACTATTGAAGCAACGATAGTCCCAATGGTTTCGTGTCTTTCGAAAGTCCCACAATTGTGGCAACAGAAGACGATACTGACACTGTTGTTATGATTCGTGTCGTCAGAAGGTGATTAATTTCCATACTCTTTTCCCAATACTTACATTTTGTGTTTTTCTCTCATGAATAGTGCTGGATTGTTTCGCAACATCAGTGTCATCTATAGTACTGCAGTTTCTTCTCCGTCGTCTGCAACAGCTGGGAATGATTACGCCTCAATCACAGGGGAAGAAGTAATCATTGAGGAAGGATCCTCAAGTGTAAATATTCCGGTCACAATTCTGGCAGACGAACTCCCAGAGCTGGACGAAACTTTCCAACTCAGTTTGGTCAGTGTCTACTTCACCGAGGAAGTCCCTGAAGATATGGGAGATGGTGGGCCTCAATTGGGGGAGATCACTGTGTCGGAGATCGTAATCAGAGAGAATGATGATCCCTACTGGGAGATTCCGTTATAGCAGGAGGGAGCGGCGAGGCGTTGTCGAGTTCCCGAGGCGGACAGTCTCGGAGTGAGTCTGACAGTCACCAGGGAGGCCGGGAGAGTGTGGGACAGTAGAGGTTACCTGGAGTGTGAGCGGAACTGCGGAAGAAAAATGTGGACTTTGCAGGTAACTCTCTTCCTACATGGATTAAGAACAGCTCTTTTCCCTTTGGAAAAGTGTCGTAGCTCTTTTACATTCGCAAAAATGTTGTTCTGGGTCCTTGTTTTGAAACCCCTTGCTCTTTTTCTTTAGGAAGTGGAGCTGTTTTGACATTTGATGAGGACACCACACAGCGCACAGTTTCACTCATCATCTATGAGGACACGCTCCCGGAGAGAGACGATACATCGTTGTTTCTCTGTCAAACCCCACCGGAGGAGCCGTCCTGGCATCTGATGGGGGGAGCGAGGCGACGGTGGTCATTGAGGCAAACGATACGCTGCTGGAATCGTGGGACTCGTGGATTCAGCTCGTTCTGTCATCGTGGACGAGGGGACACGGTCCAACTGGGTCTGGAGAGGAGTCTGGGGAACCTGGGGGTGGTGGAGGTGACTTGGAGATCTCTGGACCTGGAAACGTGTCACTGGAGTTTGTTCCTTCATCAGGGACCGCAACCTTCCAAGAGGTATGCCATTTTCCCTCTCCCCTTCCTCTCTCCCTCCACTTTTCTTTCTCTCGCTCGCCTTCTCGCTGCAGCTATGGACCTCTGGTACTAACCACTAAATGTTATCTGTAGTGCATCGTACAAATAAACTTTCTCTATTGTACATAATGGTAGATTCTTATGAATGTGAATGTCTCCCATCTGCCAGGGTTCTAACTCAACGGATAGTGTTCAGTGTAGCAGCAGACGGGACACCAGAACTGGCCGAGGAATACTCCCTGAGTCTGACTGGAGTTCAGACTCTCACTGAGGACATTTCTGTGACGGGCAGAGCAGTGCTGGACACCAGTGCCACCATGGCCACCGTAACTCTGAGGGCCAGTGACAACCCTCACGGAGTGGTGGAGTTTCAGGAGATGTTTGTGGAGACAGAGGAGAGCGGTCGTCTCTTCCTAACTATAGTCAGAGAGTTTGGAGCTATAGGTCAGTTGAAATGGGTACTTCATCCTGAAAACCCCTGGAAATTTCTTAATAATACATTTTCGGTATCCTATCTTTCTGAAATGCATCTTCTGCTTTCTTGACATGCCAGGTGCTCTTGATGTGGCGTATGAAGCTGTGATGGGCAACATCGGAACACTGGCAGGCAACTCCACTCTGGCCACTCCAGGGCTTGATTTCAACAACTCCAACAGGGACTATCAGACTGGAAGATGGGCAGCTCTCGGCAACCGTTCTGGTGCCCATCATCAACGTTATTCTTCCTTATTCAGCCCGTAAACTTTGTAATGTTGTGACTTTTATGCAGGAGACAGAACCTGAGTTATCGGAAGTGTTTCTGGTCCGGTTGAGTTCTGTTACCTCGATCCCAGTGAGGACGGGGATGTCCCTCCATCAATTGGGACTATAACCAGGTTCAAGTGACAATCCTACCAAACGACAACCCCAGAGGGGATCCTCAACTTTGCCCAGAGCAGGTAACACAGACATCCCTTATATTAAATCTAGTCTATATCAACAGTATGTGCTCTCCGTCATAGTGTGACAGTATCAGAGGACGTGGGTGAGGTGGAGCTGATTGTACGTCGAGATCAGGGCACTGTCGGTCGCGTGTCTGCTTTGTCTTCCTCATCGACAGAGGAGCCACACCTGACCAGACTATATTTCATACCAGCCCTGAGGTAGAAAAAGTGATATTTATGACTCCAATGTTGCATGTTCCTTGAAAAAAAATAGTTGTAGTAGGTGTAGTTGATTGTTACCTTAGTTAACCTATAGTTGATATTGCTTGAACTTCGTTTGCTTTTCACAGATGATAGTGTTTGAATCAGGGGACTCTGAGGAGGCAGTGCTGGTGACTATAGTGGATGATAGTGAGCCAGAGCTCGGCGAGACTTTCTGCATCCGTCTAGAGTTACCGGGGGAAATGCTGAGATTGGGGACACCCCAGAAGGTGTGGGAAGAGCGATAGAAATAGCACTCCTCGTGTAATCGTGCCGTTCTCTTCCCAGTGTGTGTGACTATTGACATAAATGACAATGCTACGGACAGTTCAGTTTGACTCTGGATCAGTGGCTGTGACAATGATGAGGCGGAGAGATTATCACCGCAGCCAATGGTAATAAACAGTAACCCCTACAATAAGCCTCAAATTAATGACATCATTTGCTTGCTTTCTGTTGCAGTTGCTGAGTTGAGGGTGGTTCGAAATGTGGAGTTTTATGAATAGTCTCCATCCCTTTTGATCTACCAGCGAGACACCAGTTATGGTCAGTGAACTAAGATGATAGTAAATTTTAAACATCGTATTGCTAATATGCTCTCTTCAGATTTGTCAATCTCGCCTTCATCTGGCCTCTTGGTGTTGCCGAAGGACAAGACTTTGGAGTAAGTCAGCACTCACAAATTGTTTGGGTAACTTGCACACAATATACAAACCACACAGATAATAGGGGTGACTGCTGTACGGGACGACATCCCAGAACTGGAGTGAGACATACACGGTATCTCTTCTGACCCATACAACATAGGAGACCTCTCTGCTGTCAATCACACTGCTAGCGTCACCATCAGACCTAATCAGAATCCACACGGCCTCCTTGAAATCTACTTCACTGATGGGGTACATACAGCATTTCATACATTGTCCTCTTAGGTTTGTGTGGTATACCAATGTGCAGAAACTCTAGTGAGTTAGTTGTGAGGAAGATGTTCGATATGTTGCACTGGAGATAAGAAGATCTGATGGAACCTTTGGAGATATTTCTGTCGATCTCAACACAATTGCTGGATCTGCTATTTCACCCACTGGTATATATGCAAGGGAAGAAATCCACACCAAAAATTAGCCACATGTTCTCTTTATGTTCCTCCAGGTGATACCCTGTCTTTCAGTGTGACGCAACTCCTAGACGCAACTGGGGCTAGGAAATGGTACCAGTTTACACGAAGTGGGCCCACTACCTGTTCCTAGCCGGCAGTGGGAAACTCTGTGCTCTATGAATGGAGAGGAGCATTCGTACCTGTGCAGACTCTATCAAACTTATGGTGCATCAGCTGCCACCTTCTTGAGTATCGACGGCCGAGATTTCCTAGTGGTTTCTGACTATGAAAACAAATTCTACTGGTATACGAGTTCTCTGGAAGTAGTCTACTAGAAGAGGTATAGAATTTACTTGATAGGACTATAGTTAGCTATAATTATACATGTTCTCTTATACTCTCATTTATAACAATGCCCCAGGTCCAAAGTATGCTACAGAGGGTGCCAGTGATGTAGTATCTCTGGTGGCACCAAATGGAGTGCAGTATGTGGTCATTGCTAGCAGAGAGACAACGATGGAAGTCCCAACACTGACTCTGTTGTGTTGGAGTGGAGTGAGGGGAGATTTACTCTCTTCCAGTCCCTAACTACCATTGGTGCTTCGGCCGTGGATGTACTGTCCATTGGAGGGACACAGTACCTTGTCTTCTCCAGTTTCACTGACACGAGTCCTTATAACCTTTATTGTACATCCAGACTATGTGACATTTTGTGGTCCCACACGTGCCTGTAGTATCGGCTATGCGATGTGTTTATGTGATTGCAGGGTCGCCCAATCTATGTGTGGGCAGTTGATAGGTACAGACTGGATCACAACATAGACACACTGGCGAGCCACTGATGTGGAGTCAGTTGATATCAATGGGGATGTCTGGCTTGCTGTTGCAACTGGTGAGTCAGCCAGTTAACTCTTTTTTAAACATGCATCGACTTAATAATTCTCAGGCTCATCTGGAGTTTCACTCTTCCGGTGTCAGCTGATGATTCCCGTTTTATCTTCAATTCGACTCTTAGCTCAGAAAATGCCCTTAGTGTTGAGAACATTCCAGAAACAGGTTCAGCAACATTTTTACCTGAAAAAGAGTATTTGATGACTCTGTGGACTAATTCACAGAGAACAGTGGTGGTGCCAGCAAAAATGTACCTGCTGTTCGCTAAAGATTGACAGAGAAAACAGTTGTCCAGGTCCTTCCCTGTTGGCAACCAGCAGGAGATCTGAGAGAATAGTCACAGAGTGATCAAGTACTCTTTTTCAGGTTAAAATGTTGATGAACCTGTTTCTGGAATGTTCTCAACACTAAGGGCATTTTCTGAGCTAAGAGTCGAATTGAAGATAAAACGGGAATCATCAGCTGACCACTGGAAGAGTGAAACTCCAGATGAGCCTGAGAAAATTAAGTTGATGCATGTTTTAAAAAAGAGTTAACTGGCTGACTCACCAGTTGCAACAGCAAGCCAGACATCCCCATTGATATCAACTGACTCCACATCAGTGGCTCCCAGTGTGTCTATGTTGTGATCCAGTCTGTACCTATCAACTGCCCACACATAGATTGGGGACCTGCAAATCACATAAACACATCGCATAGCCGATACTACAGGCACGTGTGGGAACACAAAATGTCACATAGTCTGGATGTACAATGAAGGTTATAAGGACCTCGTGTCAGTGAAACTGGAGAAGACAAGGTACTGTGTCCCTCCAATGGACAGTACATCCACGGCCGAAGCACCAATGGTAGTTATGGACTGGAAGAGAGTAAATCTCCCCTCACTCCACTCCAACACAACAGAGTCAGTGTTGGGACTTCCATCGTTGTCTTCTCTGCTAGCAATGACCACATACTGCACTCCATTTGGTGCCACCAGAGATACTACATCACTGGCACCCTCTGTAGCAATACTTTGGACCTGGGATTGTATAAATGAGAGTATAAGAGAACATGTAGCTAACTATAGTCTATCAAGTAAATTCTATACCTCTTCTAGTAGACTACTTCCAGAGAACTCGTATACAGTAGAATTTGTTTCATAGTCAGAAACCACTAGGAAATCTCGGCCGTCGATACTCAAGAAGGTGGCAGCTGATGCACCATAAGTTGATAGAGTCTGCACAGGTACGAATGCTCCTCTCCATTCATAGAGCACAGAGTTTCCACTGCCGGCTAGGAACAGGTAGTGGGTCCCAGTTCGTGTAAACTGGTACCATTTCCTAGCCCCAGTTGTGTCTAGGAGTTGTGTCACACTGAAAGACAGGGTATCACCTGGGAGGAACATAAAGAGAACATGTGGCTAATAATTATTTGGTGTGGATTTCTTCCCACCAGTGGGTGAAATAGCAGATCCAGCAATTGTGTTGAGATCGACAGAAATATCTCCAAAAGTTCCATCAGATCTTCTTATCTCCAGTGCAACATATCGAACATCTTCCTCAACAACTAACTCACTAGAGTTTCTGCACATTGGTATACACACAAACCTAAGAGGACAATGTATGAATGCTGTATGTACCTATCAGTGAAGTAGATTTCAAGGAGGCCGTGTGGATTCTGATTAGGTCTGATGGTGACGCTAGCAGTGTGATTGACAGCAGAGAGGTCTCCTATGTTGTATGGGTCCAGAAGAGATACCGTGTATGTCTCACTCAGTTCCGGGATGTCGTCCCGTACAGCAGTCACCCCTATTATCTGTGTGGGTTTATAGAATTGTGTGCAAGTTACCCAAACAATTTGTGAGTGTGGACTTACTCCAAAGTCTTGTCCTTCGGCAAACACCAAGAGGCCAGATGAAGGCGAGATTGACAAATCTGAAGAGAGCATATTAGCAATACAATGTTAAAAACTATCATTTTAGTTCACTGACCATAACTGGTGTTCTGCTGTAGTTCAAAAGGGATGGAGACTATTCCATTAACTCCACCATTTCGAACCACCCTCAACTCAGCAACTGCAACAGAAAGCAAGCAAATGATGTCATTAATTTGAGGCTTATTGTAGGGGTTACTGTTTATTACCATTGGCTGCGGTGATAATCTCTCCCGCCTCATCAATTGTCACAGCCACTGATCCAGAGTCAAAACTGAACTGTCCGTAAGCATTGTCATTTATGTCAATAGTCACACACACTGGGAAGAGAACGGCACGATTTACACGAGGAGTGCTATTTCTATCGCTCTTCCCACACCTTCTGGGGTGTCCCCAATCTCAGCATTTCCCCCGGGTAACTCTAGACGGATGCAGAAAGTCTCGCCGAGCTCTGGCTCACTATCATCCACTATAGTCACCAGCACTGCCTCCTCAGAGTCCCCTGATTCAAACACTATCATCTGTGAAAAGCAAACGAAGTTCAAGCAATATCAACTATAGGTCAACTTAAGGTAACACAACTACACCTACTACAACTATTTTTTTCCAAGGAACATGCAACATTGAGTCATAAATATCACTTTTTCTACCTCAGGGCTGGTATGAATATAGTCCTGGTCAGGTGTGGCTCCTCTGTCGATGAGGAAGACAAAGGCAGACACGCGACCGACGGTGCCCTGATCTCGACGTACAATCAGCTCCACCTCACCCACGTCCTCTGACACTGTCACACTATGACGGAGAGCACATACTGTTGATACAGACTAGATTTAGTATAAGGGATGTCTGTGTTACCTGCTCTGGGCAAAGTTGAGGATCCCCTCTGGGTTGTCGTTTGGTAGGATTGTCACTTGAACCTGGTTATTAGTCCCAATTGATGGAGGGACATCCCCGTCCTCACTGGGATCGAGGGTAACAGAACTCAACCGGACCAGAAACACTTCCGATAACTCAGGTTCTGTCTCCTGCATAAAAGTCACAGCATTACAAAAGTTTAAGGACTGAATAAGGGAGAACTAACGTTGATGATGGGCACCAGAACGGTTGCTGAGAGCTGCCCATCTTCCAGTCTGATAGTCCTGTTGGAGTTGTTGAAATCAAGCCCTGGAGTGGCCAGAGTGGAGTTGCCTGCCAGTGTTCCGATGTTGCCCATCACAGCTTCATACGCCACATCAAGAGCACCTGGCATGTCAAGAAAGCAGAAGATGCATTTCAGAAAGATAGGATACCGAAAATGTATTAATTAAGAAATTTCCAGGGGTTTTCAGGATGAAAGGTACCCATTTCACTGACCTATAGCTCCAAACTCTCTGACTATAGTTAGGAAGAGACGACCGCTCTCCTCTGTCTCCACAAACATCTCCTGAAACTCCACCACTCCGTGAGGGTTGTCACTGGCCCTCAGAGTTACGGTGGCCATGGTGGCACTGGTGTCCAGCACTGCTCTGCCCGTCACAGAAATGTCCTCAGTGAGAGTCTGAACTCCAGTCAGACTCAGGGAGTATTCCTCGGCCAGTTCTGGTGTCCCGTCTGCTGCTACACTGAACACTATCTCCGTTGAGTTAGAACCCTGGCAGATGGGAGACATTCACATTCATAAGAATCTACCAATTATGTATATACAATAGAGAAAGATTATTTGTACGATGCACTACAGATAACATTTAGTGGTTAGTACCAGAGGTCCATAGCTGCAGCGAGAAGGCGAGCGAGAGAAAGAAAAGTGGAGGGAGAGAGGAAGGGGAGAGAGGAAAATGGCATACCTCTTGGAAGGTTGCGGTCCCTGATGAAGGAACAAACTCCAGTGACACGTTTCCAGGTCCAGAGATCTCCCAAGTCACCTCCACCACCCCCAGGTTCCCCAGAGTCCTCTCCAGACACAGTTGGACCATGTCCCCCTCGTCCACGATGACGGAACGAGCCGAATCCACGAGTCTCACGATTCCAGCAGCGTTATCGTTTGCCTCAATGACCACCGTCGCCTCGCTCCCCCCATCAGATGCCAGGACGGCTCCTCCGGTGGGGTTTGACAGAGAAACAACGATGTATTCGTCTCTCTCCGGGAGCGTGTCCTCATAGATGATGAGTGAAACTGTGCGCTGTGTGGTGTCCTCATCAAATGTCAAAACAGCTCCACTTCCTAAAGAAAAAGAGCAAGGGGTTTCAAAACAAGGACCCAGAACAACATTTTTGCGAATGTAAAAGAGCTACGACACTTTTCCAAAGGGAAAAGAGCTGATCTTAATCCATGTAGGAAGAGAGTTACCTGCAAAGTCCACATTTTCTTCCGCAGTTCCGCTCACACTCCAGGTAACCTCTACTGTCCCCACTCTCCCGGCCTCCCTGGTGACTGTCAGACTCACTCCGAGACTGTCCGCCTCGGGAACTCGAACAACGCTCTCGCCACTCCCTCCTGCTATACGGAATCTCCCGTAGGGATCATCATTCTCTCTGATTACGATCTCCGACACAGTGATCTCCCCCAGTTGAGGCCCACCGTCTCCCATATCTTCAGGGATTTCCTCGGTGAAGTAGACACTGACCAAACTGAGTTGGAAAGTTTCGTCCAGCTCTGGGAGTTCGTCTGCCAGAATTGTGACCGGAATATTTACACTTGAGGATCCTTCCTCAATGATTACTTCTTCCCCTGTGATTGAGGCGTAATCATTCCCAGCTGTTGCAGACGACGGAGAAGAAACTGCAGTACTATAGATGACACTGATGTTGCGAAACAATCCAGCACTATTCATGAGAGAAAAACACAAAATGTAAGTATTGGGAAAAGAGTATGGAAATTAATCACCTTCTGACGACACGAATCATAACAACAGTGTCAGTATCGTCTTCTGTTGCCACAATTGTGGGACTTTCGAAAGACACGAAACCATTGGGACTATCGTTGGCTTCAATAGTCACAGTAGATCTAGCGAAACCTCCCACTCTAGCACCACCCGTTGCTTCCGATAGACCGACAGTAAATCCCTACAGAGATGACGATCAGTACACATTTGAAAAAGATAGTACTATTGTAGGCTTGGGATACATACCTCAGCAATTTCAGGGATGATGTCGGGGTTGATTGATAGAGTGATAGACTGCTGGGTAACTCCACTGATGTACTGCAGAGTCCCTGACACTGGCACAATGTCCAGCACGGGATCATCCCCTGCAGTGGCCGGCACATAATAATCAAAGGAGACGTTGTTATGAATCACAGTAGGAAATGTGTGGAGTTTATTTATGTGCACAACTGAATTCCTGCTGAGGTGAAAACCTTACATGTTCATTAGCAAAAGTTTAAAATTTACTGATGCAGACCTGTTGACTCACCGTTTGTGGAAGTGAGAGTCCAGGAGACTTCCACCACACCAGTTGCTCCTCCAGTTCTCTCCACTACCAAACTGACTGAGACTGAGGCTCCATCCTCTGGCTCTAGCACTGACACAGAGCGACTTCCCACGGCAAACTCTGGAGTCAAAAACGAACAAAATTATACATTGTCTGCAAGCATTGAAGTGTATATATGCTGATGTTGTATTGCTCACGTAGGGCTCCATTGGGGTCGTCACTGGCTAGTATGGTGACAGTGGCTGATAGAATGCCGTCGAGCCTGGCTCCTCTGCCGCTGCCCACCAGACTGACAGTCAGGGTCTCGGAGAACTCTGGTTCAGTGTCGCCGATGATGGAGAGAGGGAGCTGGGTGGAGGAGACACCATCAGCCAGCACCACTGATCCACTCTGGGGAGTGAAGTCTGAGGACTGAGCGCTGACTGCAACCGCCTCCCAATCCACCGTCACCTGTGTGGCAGCAAAGAAATCAGGCTTATGTGTCACCCAAAAACCTGCAACATAGTCAGAGTGTTCTATCCTATGGCAGCTTTGCTCAAAGCACAACACAAGGAAAAGGAAAACACCCCAAACTCTGTATAAGGTGGCAAAGAAACAGATAAGAGACTGAGTTGAAGGCCAGTTAGTGTGTGTAACATTAGTGTTGCACGACGTACTGTTCCAAAGCTACCAGCTCCTCGGCTGACAGTCACAAAGTTCTGTGAGGACTCTTCAGCTTCATATGTGGAGCTGGATAGTTGCAGGACTCCACGAGCATCGTCATTTTCAGCAATCACCACAAATGCCAGACTCCCATTGCCACTGGCTGAAGTTGGCAGTACTAAATGGAAAGGGTGTACACAACACTCTAAAATATGCCTTATCACAACAGTAACATTCTTCAGATTACTTGTTTTCAACAATGTCTTACTTTTTGCTCTTGGCGTGGCAACTTCAACTCACACTGCTGAACTGAATATAACAAGCAATTATATGCTTTATATTCAGTTCAGCAGTGTGAGTTGAAGTTGCCACGCCCAAGAGCAAAAAGTAAAGACATTGATCTGAAGACAAGTAATCTGGACAGAATGTCTAAAGGAGAATCTTTGTTTCAAAAACACCACAGACTGGCTACTGTCAGAGAATGTCTACTGATGTACGAATTCCATAACCAGACTAAATTGACAAATGCAAAAATGCTCAGGTAAGTGAGCTGTAATAGCAGTTTCATGAAGTAGATTTCTATATGCAAGAAATCAAGCACTACAATGCACAAAACTTGTACTGAGTACTGTTAGTTGTTTAAGAACATTTAAACCTACCAGAGCTGTCAACATCCTCCACAGAGTCAGGATCCAGCTCCACAGAAGTGATGGCTATGAAAATGTACTCATCCAGTTCAGGAACACTGTCACTGCTGATTGAGAGAGTGAAGCTCTTTGTCAGATTTCCTTCTTCAAAGATGAGACTGCCAGATGTAGCTGTGTAGTCATCTCCAGCCACTGCCAGTTGACTGCAGAAATTTCACTGATCAGGACAAGTTATAGCGGTTGCTGGACCCACACTGGACTATAATACTGGGCAGTTCCCCCCATTATCACTTTGCTATTCCTGGAATGATGACTATTGGTAAGCGCGCGTTGGATTACGTCATTCACTCCTTCCATATATGGCTGGAAAAACTGGATTCATGGACGGGGGTAGCAAGAAAGAGACAAAAGGTAAACGTACGATCGGACGCTGTTACATATTTAGAAGAATGATTGCCATTAGGGAGTAAGACTATTTGCCATGTAAGCACATAGCTTACACATAACTGACCGCACAAGGCAGTAACTGCTGACTATTCTAACAACGGGAGTTTGATCGTGTTTCCCCCAGGGGAGTCACCAGTAATACACGCTGTACCTCTGGGGTCTTAGCCCAGGCTCTACTTTGACATGGGTTCAATGATCATCAATATGGAGAAGGGGAGCCTGAGATTAGGCTATGAGGATCAATAGGAAGTGTGTGGTGGATGTGCATGTCTTTTCTGTGGATGTGTTTTTACATGCTCTAGATCAAAGTGGCTCATGCAAGCTGGTTATCGTAACGGATACACTGAACACCTATGTGCAAAGGGTGCTGGTGAGCGTCAGCGTAATCAGCAGGAGCGCCAAATACCCAACAATGGTACGTTACTCTCTACAAATATATAACAGACAGTGACTAGTATGAGGCCATACTAGCTCTATATACAGTGGGGGAATACAGGAGAGCTCGTATTGACAAGCAGACAGCGCAGCCACGTGTTAAAAATTAACACCCCATTGAAGAATGATTGACATTTCTTCTTCACAAGGAACATCTCAAACTGATTGATGTAGATTATACACATAGCAGGTGCCTGCATAGTCAAACTGAAAACACTGAGTGCAAATCCTCGGTGAACTGCGCATGCGTGGGGTACGTTGATGGGCTGGGCCTGTATATCTAGATGCGTCTTACTCGTGGTCTCCTGCTAGTAGGCTCGCGAGAGTCTGATACGGCTAGCTACAGTAGTAGATAGCATGCGGAGTCGCGATACAACGCCCTTCATTGTAGCTTTTTCCTCCGATTGGTACACAGAGCAAGCGGATCAGGTCACGCTTGCACTTGGTTTTCAAGTCCATAACTTTAAAACGCAGTACTCTACGAAAATCGCTATTTTTTAAATATAAGCCAGTGTAGAATGAACCTGTTGGTTATCGCTATTTGTGTGTATCGTTGCGCGTGGGCGTGGCAGAGAAACGTACAGGCAGACCTGCGCATGCGCGTCCTAAGGTAGACGTTCAACGTGTATAATAATACCTGTTCCGTTCAAGTTGTGCCACATCACACAAGTTCCCTGGAGAGAGCTATGCACACTCTCCACAGTCATGTAGCTCACACCTGGACCTCCCAAGGTCCCCAAAACTCCCTAGTCACCATCACCTCCACTCCTCCCCACATCTTCACTGACCACCAGTGGTCGAAACCCGCCGAGAATGTGAAGAGACATAGGGATGGTCGCTGGCCTGTACGTGTGCATGTGTGGCTACTTGTGAGCGCGCTGGTAAGTCGACTGTGCGCAACTCCACTGGCTATTCACATGACGTCTACGATAATGCTTCCTCCAGTTCTGGGGTCTGAGAGCCAATCACAAGCAACATATAGTTATAGGCCTTGTAATTGCCAATCCGGCTAGGTAGTGAGGCTCTTTCGTCCTCTCATGTAATTAAGAATTAGAGTTTTTGAACCCTGGCAAAATCTTTGTGCGCAAACCAACACCAGGCAAGTGCATACCAATGGCACAAGAAGTTGCTGTTCCTGGACTTGAACCACAACTAACTCCCTAGACAGGGGTATACAATGTACCTCATCATTGTTGATGTTACTGTTAGTTCTCCCTCTGTCTCTCCTCTGAGCAAGTCAGTCGACCGAGGTAGGGACTAACGTCACCACCATCC